TGAGGATGAGGATGAGGGTGAGGATCCGTATGCGTTTGTATATTTGGATGCGGATGTGGATGCTTATGATGATGATGATGATGTTGATGATGATGTTGACAACGAGAATGATGATTATGATGACGATGGTGATTACGGTGATGATGATGACGACGATGATGATGCGGATTATGATGTTGTTGATGATTATGATGCTGATGATGTTGATGATGCTGATGCTGATGATGGTCATGGTGGTGGTGATTGTGATGCTGAAAGCTTTGGTGATGGGGATGGGGATGGGATGGGGATGATGAGACGACGATGACCACGACGATGACGGTGACGAGGATGATGCTGATGATGAAGATGATGATGACGATGGTGGTGGTGATGATGATGCTGGTGTTTCTTATGATGGTGGTCGTGACGATGTTGTTGCTGATAATCATGGTGTTAATGGTGGTGATGATGCTGATGATGATGCTGACACTGATGATGATGACGCGGATTGTGATGATGATTGTGGATGTGATGGAGATGAGGATGTTGGTTCTTACGATGATGATGACGACGATGATGATGATGATGATCATGATGATGATGGCGATGATGATGATGCTGATGGTGATGTTGATGCTGATGCTGGTGGTCATGCTGATGATGGTGATGGTGACGCTGGTGATGACGAAGGTGGTGGTTTTGGTGGTGATGATGCCGATGGGGATGTTGTTGTTGATGATGATGATGATGATGATGATGATGCTGACGACGATCGATGCTGATTTTGATGATGATGATGCTGTTGCTGGTGATGCTGCTGATGATGGCGATTACAGTGACGGTGATGCGGATGATAATGAGGGTGAGGATAAATCTGATAATGGCTTTAAGGATGAGGGCGCGGATGCGGATTCGGATAAGGATGTGCATGTGGATGAGGATGCCGTTGACGATGAGGAGGATGATTAATAAGCATGATAATAATATGATGCGGGAGCGGAAGTGGATGCGGATGCGGATGTTGTTGATGATGGTGATGGGGAAGAGGATGAGGATGAGGATGATAACGAGGACGAGGACGAGGACGAAGACAAGGATGCGAACATGAGTGCAGGGATGATGATGAGGATCAGGACGAGGATGGTGATGGTGATGCTGACGATGCTACTTCTGCTTTGGGTGGTGACGGTAATGAGGGGGAGGAGGAGGAGGAGGAGGAGGAGGAGGAGGAGGAGGAGGAGGAGGAGGAGGGAGAGGAGGAGGAGGGGGAGAAGGAGAGGAGGTGGAGGATTTCGAGAAGGAGGAGGAGGATTTCGAGAAGGAGGAGAAGGAGGAGGCGGAGGAGGGAGGGGAGGAGGGGGAGGAGGATGGGTAGGAGGAGGAGGAGAAGGAGAGGAGGGGGAGGATGAGGAGGAGGAGGTGAGGATGAGGATGGGAGGAGTAGGAGGAGGAGAAGGAGGATTTGGAGGAGGAGAAGGATGAGGAGGAGGAGGAGGAGGAGGAGGAGGAGGAGGAGGAGGAGGAGGAGGAGGAGGAGGAGGAGGAGGGGGGGGGAAAGTAGAGAGGATCTGGAGGCGTGGGCGGGGGGGAGGAAGAGAAGGGGGCGGGCGAGGGCCTAGAGGTGAGAGGAGGGGGAAAAGGGAGGGGGGAAGAGTGGGAGGAGGATCGGACACGCTCAGGATTTTTGAGCGTTCCCGAGCATCATGAGACGATCGTGGTACTCAAGACGCCCACTGCTTTTGGTGGCTCTCAGATCGCCTGGAGGGAGGAGGAAGATGGGGTTGAGGAGGAGGCGGATGGAGGATGGGGGATCCCCTGCAGTTCCGGGTTCGCCATGCCTGCGGCCGTGTCGTAGGAGGGTGGGGGGAAGTAGAAGGCGGGTGGGGGGAGGAAGATGCGGGGGCCTTCTGTTGAGTGCTCTGGCTCAGTGGGCTGAGCTCCATGTTGGCACAACGTAAGAACGACCATGGGGAGCAAGGGGCGTGGGAGGGTGGAGGGCTGTGCTTATGACAGAGATGCAGAACACCATATTTGAAGTCGCTGCATGAGCTGGTAGAGCAATCGTACACAAGAGAGCTTGTGCGCAGCTTATATTGCGTCAACCGTGATTTGATGCCTCCTGAGGCCTCTCGGGGGCATCTTTTGGGCTTGTTCCTCATTTGCGCGGGTGCCTCTTGGGGGCGTCTGGGGGCCTCCTGTGGGCCTCTCGGTGGGCTGCTGGTTGTCTCGGGCGCCATCTTGGGCTGGAGGTTTCGAGATGACAGTGCGATGTTCCCCTTTTAGCGGCCTCGTGATTGCCTCTCGTGTCCGTCTTGGGTGCCTCGAAGGCTTTCTTGGTCCAGTGTTGGGGGCCTCCTGGGCCGTCTTGGACGCTGCCGCGACCAAGAGTCGATTATCCAGCCTTGTAGGCCGACCCCGAAGGCCGCCAACATGGCACAAGAGAGGCTCCCAATAGAGCCCCAGGACGGCCCCTTGGGATAATCTTCGATTACGTGGGCAGTATTGGCTTAGGTCCCCAGAGGCAAAACAACGACAAGCCCTGAGAGCTTCAAGAAGCGCCCAGAAGTCCCCGAACTCGAATGTCTATACCCCAAAAAGAGTACCTACACTGCCCCATGCAGAAGATATGGCAGATGGGCATACTGATTTGGTCCGTACACTTCTGGTCGGGAACTTTTAGACAGCATTTGGCTCCACGCTTTGGCGCGACACACTGTTCACGTTCCCATTCACAAGCGTCCACGTCCCAATCAAGCCTTTCCCAGCCTCCCTCCCCGCGGAGCGGAGCGACACGCAGTCCGCTTGCAAGGCATCGCGTGTCGCCGGGGCCGCCGCCGAGACGCGCTGTGCGACGGTTCTCGCCCGTGAGTGGCTACCCGTTGGTCCAGGCAGTGCCAGGGCTCAGGCATGTTTCAGGAGGGAAAGAAACACACAGACACAATAAATCGTCGACTTCCAGAAAATATGAGAAACTATTGGAAGTGGGGGGGAAGACAGAAGCTCAGAACATATAGGAAAATATGGGGAGTCTTTTTATTTGTGTGTATTGATTTGTGTGTCCCAGGGCCCCTTCAGTGTTGCAATGGCCACCTCCTGCCTCCTGCCGCATCCAGGGGCGGCCTCGCCGACCCCCCGCAGACCATCCCCTTCCGTGACGTGCCCCTCGCCTCGGCCCCAGGACGCGCGTGTGCGGCCGGAGGGGAGCCCGAAAAGGCGAGGGTCGAGCAGGGGACGTGACGCCGGGGGCCGCGCCGGCCGCGCCACGGAAGGGGCTGCTCTGCCAGGTGTCGGTCAGACCGTCGCCACCTACCAAACCACCCCAACCCAACCCGAAGGCCTCAATTTGCCCTCCATCTCCAGTGGGGGGGGGTGTCGGGGAACGTTGAAAAAACACATGGAACCCGTACCCCCCCCCCCAACCCGAAATTCAGGCCAAATTCGGGTCTTCGGGTTGGGTTGGGGTGGTCTGGCAGGTAGTCAGACCGTGCCCTCCCGCGTGCGCGTCGGTGCGCTGCCGCCGCGCCCTCCCGCGGGCGGCCGCCTGCCCGTCGGGGGCGCCGAGGCAGGGGCACCGCTCGGGGGGCGTCGGGAGGGGGCGCCGGGGCCCTCGGGCGTCGGGGCGCCCTGCGGCGCGGAGAGGCGCGGCCGCAGGGCCTGCAGCCCGGAGCATCCGCGCGCGCAGGTGCACTTTTCTCGGGGGTGGACAGAACCCCCAACAGTGACACGTCGATTAGTGAATTGTCCGTTTTCGGTTCTCGAGAGGGCGCCGTGGCCGTTATTTTCCAGGCTTGCGCCCGCCAGGTTTGGGCCTCAGGTCCTTTTCACTAAACCACGTTTTACTAAAGGGGGGTCTGTCCATCCCCGATTTTCCAGGTGGGTGGCAGCGTCGAGTCGGGCCTGCCCCTCTGCAGGGGGGGAGATTCAAGAAGAGACAAAGGATAGTCTGGGGACGACTGTTCGACTAGTTCTTGGTTATTTGTGGGGCACGTTTTGAGTATCTGCCAGTTTTCGCGCCCAGACTCCCCCTGTAGGGGGACAGGCCAGACCGGATGGCAATGGGGGGGTCACCTTCATGGGGGGGGCGAAGGAAAGGGCCCTGAAGGGGCCCAGACGCACCTTGTACTAGAGAGCCCGGCAAAGAAGAAGGCAGCCGCCGCAACACAAGCAACTGATAAGTTGCTTTAGTTGTCCAGCAGTTTGCAGTTTTGCCGCAATTGGTTGTTCTCAGGATGTTCCAGGCGGTCTCGACCCTTGGCAGTTTCGCCCGAGCACCCGAACTTGCCGAGTAACTAGCGCAACGAATGCCAGTAATGCCGAGCAACGAAAGCAACGAATGGAACTTACGCAATTATCCACCAACAACTATAGTTTGCGATGTGTGTTGAGTTAATTGCTTTAGTTGTTCTGCAGTTTCGCTGTGCCCGGCAGTTTCGCCGCAAGTAGTTGTTCCCGGGATGTTTCAGGCGGTTTTAACCCCCGGCAGTTTCCGCCCGAGCGCCCGACATCGCCAAGCAACTAAAGCAACCACTGCAACTATCAACCAGCAATTCATTGTTGGCGAAGTGCTCTATTAGTTGCATTAATTGTTTGGGAGCTTCCTTATTGGTTGAATCGTTTGCATTAGTTGTCTTTGGACTGGTTTGCAATCGTTTCACTAGTTGCTTTAGCAGTCGTTGCTGTAGTATGATGGTTCGTCTGGGCCAGGCAGCCTATAGGGCCCGTGTCTTCACCACCAACTGTGGTCACCTCCCCATTGTCAGGATATTTTGAACGTAGCAGCTTCTCTGACAGCCGCAGGGAGACACCGGGCAGCGCGCGGAGCGACGAATCCCAGGGTGCCCTCACGGAGCGCATCCGGTCTCTTGATGCACGTCCCCAGCCGAGCTGGTGGCCGAGGCCCGCCGTAGCCATGAGAGCTCTCTCGTTCCCCCTCTGGCGCTCCTTATGCTGGCACGACGATTCGTGTGGCCCGATGCACCCGCCCCGCCTTGCTCGGGGTCGCCGAGCCGCCCCAACAGGCGATGCGCGACGGCTCCAGCGTGGCCATCTACCACACCGCCGGCAAGGGCACCCGCATGGCGCCGCTGCCCGGCGCGGAGAACAACAACAAGCCCGGCGTGAAGTTGCCGGGGCTGCTAAAGGTCGGGGACGACCTCGTGCCCATCACCGTGCTCGAGGCCCCGCCCAGTTTGACGGTTTGAGCCCCCTCCCCTGGCCGGGAAGGAGCGGGGAGAGGAGGACGAGTAGGAGGAGATGGAGGAGGAGGAGGAGGAGGAGGAGGAGGAGGAGGAGGAGGAGGAGGAGGAGGAGGAGGAGCTTACCTGCGGGGATCATCCGTTAAAATTGGAACGATGCAGAGAAGATTATCATGGCCCCTGCGCAAGGATGACACGCCCAAATCGAGAAGTGTATACAATCTAGGATTTCACTCTTGGGATGATCCGTTAAAATTGGAACGATACAGAGAAGATTAGCATGGCCCCTGCGCAAGGATTACACGCACAAGTCGAGAAGTGTATACAAGTTGCTCTCGCGGGTCTTTCACATGCCTTACTGTGGGTTGAGTCAGGGAGCTTGGTACGAATGGAAGGAGTGGGGAGGACCTCGGATACCATCGCTGCCAGCCACCTGTCTTGTTGCCCAATCAATCCAGAGCCACCATCAGAACGTTTGAATGGAGAGGGCCACTCACCATGTTGCACAATGCTGAAGTTCGGCACCGTCCATACGTGTCGGTTCTTCGCGGGGACCTCTCGCCAGATTTTTGGAAGACACGCGCCCTGTGCCAGCACATGTCCGATGCGTTTGAGGGCGCACATCTGCCAGCAAATGTTCGAGAACTCTGTCGTCCTGCTCTCCATGAAGCCCGTGCACTACACCAACATCACACCGTGAGCCCCATGAGAGGCCCGCGCCCGAAAATTCAGCGTCTCCTGGTTCACAGTATCTCGGAGGCCTTGTATCCCGCATCTCTGGGGAACTTGTTTTCCGCCCGTCTCTGTGAGCTGCTCCCGTCTGATAGGGCTCCGTACCGTGGACTGGCTCGCGGTCCGTGCTACCCTTGCCTCCCTCCCTGTCGCGCTTTCGCCAGCCGCGGCTAGGACCCTCTGGAAAAACTGGCTAACGCAGCGTAGGTTTCAAGAGACTGACAATTCGAATTGTATCTTTGGGTGCCCGCCACAGGACGGAGGTGACGATTCGTTTGCACGTTGCTGGCGTTGCCCGTTGTTCTCCCTGCTTTTAGAGTCCGCTGTGGGCCCTCTCGATCCTCGTCCTCTCGAGCGTTCCGGAATGTTGACACCCACGGAATCCTTTTTGAAGATCACAGCTTGTGCTTATCTTTTGCACAAAGAGTTAACAATGAAATCGCGTCGATGCGGCAGTCGACCTTCAACCCTGCAGGGATCCCAAGGTGTGCTCCCTGCCGTGCGGGCGCAGCTCAGGCGATGAGGGACGAATTCGCTGCGCAGCCCACGCCGCAGGAGGAGGAGGAGGAGGAGGAGGAGGAGGAGGAGGAGGAGGAGGAGGAGGAGGAGGAGGAGGAGGGAGGATGATGATGATGATGAGGAGGAGGAGGAGGAGGAGGAGGAGGAGATGGGGGGAGGCAAATGGGGGATGGGGAGGATACCAGAGCAGGGGAAGGATACCCATACCGCTACCCCTCGTCGTCGCCACGGCTGGATTCGCTTCGAGGTGGTCAGAACGTGCCCGGGGGAGGACTGTGGATAGCTACTGGGGTGTCCGTCTGTCCCCCCATGATCGGCGGCGATCAGAAGTGGCCATGGCTATGGGCCACGGGGCAGCCCTCTCAGGAGACATCGGGGTTGCTTCGAATGGCGTGGCCTTCTTAAGATGACGGACCCCGTTCAGGAGAGAAAACACACAGACACAAATTATACGTATTCCCCAGAACATAAGCCCGAGATGAAAGCACACATATCGATTCCCCAGGAAATAGAGGAAAATATGGGAAGCGGGGGGGCGACAAAAACCTAAAACATATGGAGCATGTGGGGCACCCTGCTATTTGTGTGCATTTACTTGTGTGTCCCAGGGCCCCTTCACCCACGCTGAGGTCGGGGGTCCACTCAGAAGGATGCCCCACCCTGATCCTGCCCCACTTTGGCTCGACGCAAGGCTGATTAGAGGAATAACAACAGCAGCAGCAGCAACAGCAGGGATGGGCCGTCGCGAGGCGGGGGGCGTGCTTCCTTCATCGCGTGCGATCCACCATCACATGTTGCCAGCCGATGTTCGGCTGAAGCTTGGCTGAACACGCCATCGGCCACATGACCACAAAAGGAGAGAGTGAAAAGGATGATGATGATGATGAAGACGATGCACATTATGAGGATGGGGATGAGGATGCTGCTGCTGCTGATGATGATGGTGATGATGATTATGATGATGAGGATGATACGGACTGGGGAGGGGGAGGAGGAGGAGGAGGAGGAGGAGGAGGAGGAGGAGGAGGAGGAGGAGGAGTGGAGGAGGAGGAGGAGGAGGAGGAGGAGGAGGAGGAGGAGGCGTTCTGTGGTCCTGCTTTGTCGGCACGTCGAGAGCAGTTGCGTTCTGAGGCCGCGGCTGGCAGGCGCCCCAGAGATCGGGGCGGACCTCTGGGGGAGAAGCCCCGGAGCGTAGATAGCACACCTCTTCACCCCCCCGTGCCATTGCCACTCAGCAATTCCCTTGTCCATCCGCATCCTCTCTCTTCCCCTCTCCTTCTCCCCCTACCTCCGTCCCTGCACTCGTTCATCCGCGAAGCGTCCTACCATTTGTTTGCTCTCGTTCCCTCTCTCTCTCTCTCTTTCCCGTTCTGCTCTCATCCCACATCTCTACTCTCCCACTCTCCCCCCTCTGTTCTTATGTCTCGTCTCCTATCCCACCTCTTGGCTGCCCTTGGCCATGTGCCTTCTGACCTCTCTCCTCATCTCTCCCTTCGTGCTCTTCTCCCGTCTCCTCTTCTCTCCCATTCTCTCTCTCTCTCTCTCTCTCTCTCTCCCTCGCCTTCTTCACGGCCGCCAGGCGGTGCTACGACAGACCAGCAGCTACGCAAGCGTGCGCCCTGGCCGCTGCTCCGTCTTCTGGGGCGACCAGATTTTTGTGCCGTCCTGCGGCATCAGGTCCAGGGCAGAAGCCGATTCCCGCGTTTGCCCTCTTAGCCATCTTCATTTGTTTGTCCCCCGTCGTTGTCTTCCTCCTCCGTCATCCGTCCTCCATCCCTCTTTTATTCAAGAGCGGACTGGCCCTTACGGGGCGATCCCGAACAGTCTTGGCCGTTCCAGTTCCTCTTCTTGCTTCTCCGTCCCCTCCTTCCCCGCTCCCTCCATCCCTGCCGCCTCCTCCTCGTCCCCTATATCACCCTCCAGCATCATCTATGCTGTCTGATTCCGTTTCTCCGTTCCCCTTTTCATTGTCCTCATTTTTGTCTTCCCATCCTTCGCATCCTTCGTCATCCTTCCGCATCTCGTTTTCCTTTCCTTCTCCTCCTCTTCGTGGTCCTCCTCCTCCTCCTCCTCCTTTTCTGCCTCCTCGCCACCATGTCCATCCGTCCCCATCATCATCGTCCTCATCATCACGCTCCTCCTCCCCCTCGTTTCTCCTTCTCGCCCTCCCTCCCCCTTCCTCGTCGTCCTCCGCCTGATTCCCCCTTCTGGTGAAGGTGGAAAGGCACGGGCGTCAATGGTGTTTCTTTAGGGGGGGGCGGGGGGGGGGGGGGCTGGGCCCCCGCGCCAGGGCGTGCGACGCCCCCGCGGACATCCTCGCCGCGCTGAGACCGATGCCCACGGAGGAGCAGTGGAAGGAGGAGGCCCTGCACCAGTACGGCCTGATTGCCGTGGACCCCCGCGGGGCCGCCACGCAGCTGGAGAAGGCCCGCGCTTCGCGCACGTTCGTGCCGACGAGCCGGAGGAGCAAGAAGTATGCCGATGCCGCTGCTCGTCCTGGAGCGGTCTCGTCGCCACGTCTGGGTTCTCATCGAAATTCCGGTCAGAACGCACCCTCGGAAAGGTCCAGGAAGCCGCGGTATCAATGTCTTGTTGTTCCCCGCAGATGAGGTCGTTCCCCGTAGGTCGGCTGCGTGTAAGAGTGATCTTTCGTTGGAGTGACCTTTGGTATGGGCCCGCAGGGATCCACCCCGCCTGGCGGCCACCTCCCACAGCCGCGTACCATAGGCCACTCGTGCCTAGGGTCACTCTTGCGTGAACGTGGCCGAGTAGGCCGAGTTCGCAGGGGCTTCGGGGGGTCCTCAGGGACCGATCCCCATCCCCATCCCCATCCCCTTCGAGACCCCCACCAAATTGCCACCCAAGTTGGGGATACACCCCTCGAAACCCGAAGGGAACGGTCTATATCTCCATCTAGGCGGATAAATCGGCCAGTGGGGCCCAGGCCACAACGCTGGGGATGGGGATCGGATAGACGATGCTCAGCTGCACCTGCAGGGCGTGCGCGGAGAAGCCGGCAGGTCCTTCTGAGTTGGCCCTGCTTTCGGCGCCGCTTAGGTTCTCTTGTCGGGTCTGGACTGCAATCCGGTTCGGACGGTCAGCTTTCGAGATGAGAAGAGGTATCGGGCAGCGTCCGATTGGATCAGAAGTGAGCTCAAAGTATTGACGTTTCGCGTGCGTATCCCCACCAGCCCACCCAGAAACGACGCCCACGGGAGTTGTCTGGAGGAGAGGCGCAGGTAAACATAGTGAATTAGGGCGGTCACCAATTGTGGATTTTTTAAAACTTTGAGGGGCCTCTTGGAGCCACCTTGACAATGTTTGAAGCCTTTTGCGCTCTGTGGGGGCCCTCTTGGGGCTCTGTTGGGGCCCTCTTGAGGCCTTGAGGGCTTCTTGGGACCATCGTGGAGGGCATCGATTGAAGAAACGGGGGTTCGTGATGTCAGCCCCCGTCGGGGACATTAAAATCGCCTCTTCGGGCCCGCTACGGGGGAGGGCGCCTTGGGCCCGTCTTGGGGCTCTTTTGGGCGATTTTCGAACCATCTGGAGGCCCCAAGAGCCCATCGGAAGCGAAATGAAGAGGCGACAAAACACATCATCGGAGCCGTCTTGGGACGGTCAACGCCTCTTGGAGGCGTGTTGGATGCTATATTGAACCATCTTGCGTTAACTTGTGCGATCTTGGAGGCCATACAGGGCTATCTTTGGCCCTCTTGGGGCCATCTCGGTCGTGGCGCCCCGCCTCCAGACCCAGGGAGAGGGGGACTGGGGAGAGGTGGACCTCTCCCCAAAGGGGAAGGAAGTTGTCGGAAGAGCTAACTCCCTAAACCACCCACTTCCACAGGGCTGGCCGGCCTTGCAACGCAACTTGGGAGGACGGGATCTTCTCGAATCGCTGTGCATCGTCGCCGAAATTCCTGGGAAGTGGCGATGTTCCTCGCTGGCTCGAGTCGTGACGCCCGTTGCGCCCGACCACGTCTGCCCACCGTGGACAGGGGCGTCCAGAGGGGCAGAGGCCCTCCATAGCCCTCGGTGCTTTCTCCTCCTCCTCCTCCTCCTCCTCCTCCTCCTCCTCCTCCTCCTCCTCCTCCTCCTCCTCCTCCTCCTCCTCCTCCTCCTCCTCCTCCCTCCTCCTCCTCCCTCCCTCCTCCTCCTCCTCCTCCTCCTCCTCCTCCTCCTCCTCCTCCTCCTCCTCCTCCTCCTCCTCCTCCTCCTCCTCCCAGGCCTCGGGCCTCAGGCCCACGTCGGGAGAGGCAAAGGAAATCGCACAGACACGATGCATCGTCGATTCCCCCGAAGAGTCGGGAACATCTGGGGAGTGGGGGGGCAGACGAAAACCCAGAAGCTGCGTGAAAGTAATTGGGGATCGTGGGATTTGTGTGTCTTTATGTGTGTGTGTGTGTGTGTGTGTGTGTGCCTGGGCTCCTTCCCCAAGGACCGTTAGAGAACGACGAGGGTGAACGATCGATCCTCGGGGAAGCCCCGGGAACCAGGACCCGCTTCCCTCAGGACCCCTCTTTCACATGTCAACGGTGAGTCGAGGGAATTGTTGTGGAAGGGACCGTGACAGAGGGGGTGTGGTGTGGCCTCGCCCGATCACAGGTTTCCACGGTCTCGTGAAAAGTTCTAGCTTTCAATCGGCCACCCGGCTTCTTGTTAGCCACCGCTGGCTGGAGTTGCATTGCGCTTCTGCGGCGGAGGATGAGCTGCATGTTTCCAGCAGGCGGGAGTACGAGGGGTCCCCGGACAGTCAGGCGAGCGCAGGGAGGTTCGGGCAGCGCGATCGGCAGTTGTCTCGCGCGCAAGCGAGAGGAGACGGAGGAGGATCAGGAGGATGACCTTGAGAGGTGACCTACGATGTGGCGAAGCAGTACCTTCCGGCTGACGTACAGCTGGTGGGAACTTCCCTCGGCTCGTTCTCCGTTAGCGCAGGCCTGATGGATGCTCTGCTGGAAGAATTCGCGAAGGAGCTCGCGGAGAAGACGGCCTGCCTCGATTCCGATCCTCATTTATGGATGCCTTTCACGCTCAAGGAGGCAGACTATGTTGCAGTGATGGCGAAGAAGTCGGTGAGCGCAGACGAGGCTGCGGCACACTGGGGTCGCATGAAGGCGTTCAGGGAAAAGTTTCTGCCGTCGGGAGGCCCCATGCTGGGCTGCGTGGACGTGGGTCAGGACACCTACTGGTGGGACTACGGCCGCCTGGAGCTGTACTACAACAATAATATCCTTCTCACCGATAGCAGCGATAGCGCGCACGCCCTCCGAACCTTCATGTATCTGCACGCGGCGGGTGCGCCGAGGGAGGACACCTCGGGAAGAAGGAAGGGCAATCAGCTCGCGGACTCTGTGACCATCGACCCCAGCGCCGTAGTGGTGAACTGCAGGCTCGGCGGCGGGACGGTGGGTCCGAAGTGCGTGCTGGTCAACGTCACTGCCCCGTCGATAGAGGCGAAAGAGAGCGTCGTCATGTGCGTGAGCTCGTCGGTGCCGGTCACTTGCGAGGGTGCGGTGCTGTACAATGCCGTGGAGGACACGGGGGCCAGCCTGGATTGCAACGGTGTGCGGGCCGACGTCTTCATGCCAGGGGGGACACAGCACAAGATGAAGTCGAAGCTGTCGATCGATGGAGGTAAGGCGTGGAAGGAGGTTGTGGAGGGCAATCCGATGAGTTTTGAGGGTATCTACAAGGCTAACGGGGTCCTCGACGTGGCCGAGTGCTCTGCCGAGGCCCAGAAGGCCCATAAGGCCGTAAGCAGCAAGGTGGCGTGACTCGCAGTATCTGGAGGGGGTGCAAGCTCGCGCTCGTCCGCTGGCATCTCGGTGCTTCATTTTCCGCGCGGGGGTGGGGGTTGTGAACGCATTCGCCGCGGCCGGCTTTGAATTTGACATCGCGGAGGACTCAGCGTAGGGCCCGATGTGCTCCGTAGGAAGTCGGCACATAGCAGGCCTAGGATGTACCAGCACATGGCTTTTGCAGCCGTCGCTAGTCTGCAGTTGTGTATCTCGCCATGTTGCGCCACCTCAGCGCCTGCTCTGTTTTTCCAAGATGGCCATGTGACTCTGCTATGATCCCATAAGTTCCAAAGGTTAGCCAGCCTGGATCCCACAGGGTGAGCTACTGCACTGTGGAGGTGGACTATACGGTGTGTAAGCTATGTTGTGCGGGCTATGCTGGGTAAGCTATGCGGTGCGAGCTATGTGTTGCAAGCTAACTTGTGTAAGTTACGTGACGTAAACTATGTTGTGTAAGCTATGTGGTGTGAGCTATATGAGGTGCGCTACATGTTGTAAGCCAGGTGGTGTGCACGACGTAGCATATTATATATGGTGCGAGCCACGTTGTGTAAGGCACGTGGTGTGCGATATGTGGTGGCCGCCAGGGCCTGCAGGCCATGTGGTTCCAGGTATGCTGTGCAAGCTATGTGGTGTGAGCTATGTGGCGTGAGCTATGCGTTGCGAGCTATGTGATGCAAGCTGCAGGAGGGCAAGTAGCGCACAGGCACAATTCATCGTCGACCCCCAGGAACATCTGGGGAACTCTCGGAAGTGGGAGGGAAGACGATAATCCAGAACATATGAGAAAAGATGGGGGGATCCTGGGTTTCAAGTGTATTCGTTTCTGTGTCCCTGGGCCCCCTCGAGGCTGTGCGGTGCAGGGCATGCCGTGTAGGCGATGTGGTGTGAGCGCACGGGGCGCCCCCCACGCCCACGGGCGGGCACGGGCGCAAACGAGGCGAAACCTCAGGACGCCCACCCAGCCCACTCTCCGTCCTCCTCCCCCTTCCTCCTCCTCCCCCTCCTCCTCCTCCTCCTCCTCCTCCTCCTCCTCCTCCTCCTCCTCCTCCCCCTCCTCCTCCTCCTCCTCCTCCTCCTCCTCCTCCTCCTCCTCCTCCTCCCTTTTACCTATGGTAGCGGTGGTGGAAGATCGGCTCATCATAAGAAGGGAGGTGGGCGACGAAGGAGCATCGCGCCGTTTTCGCTGACCTTGGCGCGTGAACTGCCCGCGTATGATCGCGCGTGCAGTCCACCCGCATATAGCAAGGATGCGCAACCTTCCTAAGGGTACCCTTGCAGCCTTGCCCTTTCGGCCCATCCTCAGCGACTTCCGCTGGCCAGCCTCGTTCGAGGAACGTTCACATGGACCTCCGAGGCACTTGTATTCTTACCGCGCATACATATGATACGGGTTGACTCCCCTTACCGCGCTTCCATAGGAAACCCACCCAGCCCACTCCCCGTCCTCCTCCCCCTCCTCCTCCTCATCCTCTTCTCCTCGCTCTCCCTCCTCCCTCCCTCCTCCTCCCCTCCTCCTCCTCTCCTCCTCCTCCTCCTCCTCCCCCTCCTCCTCCTCCTCCTCCTCCTCCTCCTCCTCCTCCTCCTCCCCCTCCTCCTCCCTCCTCCTCCTCCTCCTCCTCCTCCTCCTCTCCTCCTCCTCCTTCCCATCCTCCTCCTCCCCCTACCTCCTCCTCTCCTCCTCCTCCTCCTCCTCCTCTCCTCCTCCTCTCCTCCTCCTCCCCCTCCTCCTGCTCCTGCTCCTCCTCCTCCTGCTCCTTCTCCTCCTCCTCCTGCTCCTCCTCTTCTCCTCTTCCTCCTCCTCCTCCTCCTCCTCCTCCTCCTCCTCCTCCTCCTCCTCCCCAAGTGCACTAGCGCACCGGCGCCGACGCGGCGATTTCTCGGGAAGCCCGCCCGGCCCACGGGGCGTCAACGAGCGGGCACGGGCGACAACGCCACGATTTCGCTGGAAATCCAGCTGGCGCACGAGGCGCCCACGATGATGGGCCTGTTTTCCACCGCCACCACCACCACCATAAGTTGGAGAGGGAGGAGGAGGAGGAGGAGGAGGAGGAGGAGGAGGAGGAGGAGGAGGAGGAGGAAGAGGAGGATGAGGAGGAGGAGGACGAAGAGGAGAAGGACGATGATGAGGAGGAGGACGAGGAGGAGGAGGCAGAGGAAGAGGAGGAGGAGGAGGAGGAGGAGGACGAGGAGGAGGACGAGGAGGAGGACGAGGAGGAGGAGGATCCCCTTCCCCTAACTTATGGTGGTGGTGGTGGTGGTGGTGGAAAACAGGCCCATCACACGAGGCGACCAGAAGCGGGCACAGGCGAACACGTGGCGAAAACTTGGGCAACCCATCCACTGATTAACAAGTCAAGTAAGGATTCCTAAGTGCAAGCCATGTTAGTGGAAACATTTCGTCAGACGGCCCAAGATGGCCTAACGTTCATGTGCGACGGCCTTCAGCATGACTCTTACAGCCCCCCCCCGTGGAAGTCCCAGCACCACTATGGGACATGGGATTCCCCCCGTGGAAGTCCCCCCCGTGGAAGTCCCGTGGAAGGACATGGGATTTCCCCCTTCGTCCTGACACCTACGGTTCTAGAGTATCCCAGGCAAGAACCTCGATGACGTTGCCGAAGACATGTGTGGTGCAGAGGTAACATTGCCCATGGATGTGCCCAAGCCACCCAACACGGACGTTTTGCAACACCCAGGGGTGGATTTGCACGTGCTGCCTGTCCGCTGGGTCCTCCAGTGTCGCCAGAAGGCGGCGACAGTGGAACGCACTGCAGCATTCGGGGCGGCGCGAGGTCTGGTTTGGGGGACTGCGAGCGTCGAGGAGGCGCAGACATGGAATTACGGCGCGTGCGAAATCAGCGCGCTGGGTGGGTCGCCAAATCGGGCGGCGCTGGCCTCATGTCTCGGGGCGTGCTGTCTTCGATCCGTGGGTGTGGCGCCCACGCGCCAGATCTACGAATCTGCAATGTATGTCAGCGTGTGCCCGAGAGTGTCAGCATCCCGTCGGACCCCCCATGTGGCGCAGGAAAGTGGCGACAGTTGCGCGCTTGGCAGCACCTACGTCGGGGGGCGAGGTTCTGTGCCTGCCTGTGCCACTGCTCCGCTGAGGCCCCCGGCGGGGGTGCAGGAGAGTGGCGGCAGTTGCGCGCCTGGCCGTATCCACATCCACGCCCTCGCGGTCTGGATTCCGGGGCGCGATCCCGAGGACACGAGGTCGCACGGATGCGGTCCGTGCGGGACATCCGCGACGGATTCCCCGCATCCACGGGGTCACGGCCCGGGGCCCAGTCCGCGAGGCCGTGCACACGGCTGTGGTTTCCACCCGCGTTGCTGCTGAGGTCGCATTGCAGGCCAGCGCTGAGTGCTCGGGACGCCACCCCCTCTTGGCGGAGGGGGAGGATAGAGCAGGGGTGAAGGGGATGCTGATGACGATGATGATCATGATGATGTTGAGAATGGTGGTATCGCTGATGCAGATGCAGATGATGATGATGCTGCTGCTGATGATGACGATGATGATGATGATGGTGGTGATGGTTGTGGTCATGATGATGGTGATGATGATGCCGGTGCAAATGATGAGGACGATTGCGAATACGATGACGATGGTGATGATGATTATGATGATGTTGATGATGATGCTGATGATGATGATTATGATGCTGATGATGATCAGACTCAGTAACAATAGTACAGATGGTACCGATGCTGCTGATGATAGTGATGACGTTGACGATGATGACGATGATAATGATACTGATGATGATGCTAATCATCATCATGTTGGTGGCGATGATGGTGATGATGATGATGATGATGATGATGATGATGATGATGATGATGATGATGATGATGATGATGATGATCCCGCTTCCCCGAGGGTGGCAGCCGCCGACTCGCGGTCTCCCCCCGAACTCTCCAATCAGCTACATTACTCCGAAGCGCCCCCACCTCTCGCAGGAGACCTCGATCGGTCTTGGCGCGGCACAGCGGCAGGCTCACTCACTCACGGGGTACTTGGTCACCATTTCCGGGGTTTCCGCGACACCCCAAACTGCATCCGTCTCAGTCCGCCGTCGCCGAGAGCCCTGGGGCCTCGGCCCTCACTGCACAAATGTACTCGTCCATGTCAGTCGACGAAATGCTCGCGGAAGGGCGCCGCGAGGTAGGGCGGCGGCGCCGCCGCCTGCTCGGCGAGGGGCTCAGCGAGGTAGGGCGTCGCCGTCGTGTTCAGTGCCAGCCGCGGACGTGGCGGACCCGCTGGCCCTCAGGGGGCTGCCCTGAGCTTTGTGTCCGTGTCCACGCAGCTAAACGCAAGGAGGAAAACGAGCAGCAGGAGGAGGATTCGGGGGAGAGGCCAAAAGTCAGCGCAGCTGCAGGGGGGAGGGCGGGGGCCGGCGGGCGGGGGGCAGGAGAAGAGGGCGAGTTGGCGGTCGAAGGGGCCGTGGTGATTGTGGTGGTCATGTTGGTGGACGAGCTGGTATGGTGGGCGTGTTGGCGGTCGTGGTGGTCGTGGTGGTTGTGGTGGTAGTGCTGGCGAGCGCGCGGGAATCGTCAATGTGATAGGTGGAAACGTTGTCGGGGGAGCCGCGCTAGTCGCGGTGGTAGTCGGAGGCGGTGGTTGTCATAGTCGTGATGGTGGTCGTGCTGGTGGGTGTGGTGGTTATGCTGCTGGCGTTCCTTGGAGGGACTGTAGTGCTAGTCGAACGGGTGGTGGCCGTGCTCGCTGCGGCCGCTGTAGACGCCAGGTCACTGGCCCAGTGCGCTGAGGAGCATCTCGGCGTTCCCCGTGTGGAGCGTCACGGAGATCTCCCGCCACAGCCTGCTCAGAAGTTCTGAGCGCTCCTCTTCCTCGAGGCCGCCGCCGTAGCTTCGAATGAAAGCGGCGGTTTCCTCGGAGGGCCGCCCCCCGGCCTCGAAGACCATGGGGACGAACTCCAGGCCAGGCCTTGGTGGGTACCGCGCCCTCTTGT